GATAGAGCTGTCGGCAAGCAGGGATGTCCAGAGCCATCAACCTATCGCGCCAAGGCATTTTCGACGCGGAACTTTATGTTTCCAAGAGTGTACATTCTACTACAAAGAAACGTATTCTTTTTTTTACATTTTTTATAGCAGTAGTTGACAATAGTTATTCTTCAATTGAATAATACAGACCACAATATGATGCAAGTTTGATTATATGATACATACAAATTAGTTGTTTTAGTTGTTCATTCCCGAGCGTGGTAACGTTAGTGCATAATAAGAACACAAAATGATATTTTCGCTAAGTATGACAGCACATTTTATCTTATCCCTTTGCCTTTTTAACATTTCGACACATTTTTTAAAAGTAGATTAGTGGTATTACACTGACTGCAGAGGTACCCACGAATTGCATAACTTTCTACACTTACGAGATCATAGCAGTCACAATGAAGATAATGAAAAAACTTCTTGAGTATCAGAATTGAGGCAGCCAGATTTACTACTCGTATGTAGCAAATTGAAAGAACGTAACAATAAAGAAGCTTACGACAAGATTTTGAAGGCATTCTGAAAGCGAAAAATAGCAATTCTCAATGATGGCCAAAACACCGATTTATATAATACCGGTATTAAATGCTACCTTAAAGTGTAAAAACACGAAGTTCAAGAGAACAAAATGCAATATAAATATCCATATTCACCCAAAACAGCAGAGAAATAAGTAAATTTATATTCATAACAATTTGTCAATACTGATTTGTATGAATATATTTTTGTTCGTGAATAGAGTAGAACGTGTGTGTGTGCACCATATTGTTTACCAATCTCTTGTTTCTAGGCAACCTTTGTTATATCTGATATAACAAGTCATTATATCTACTGCAAACTCGTAAGGTAAACAGCACATAAAGATAAGGGAAAACAATTTTACATTTAAGATAAAACAGTTAAACCAGGAATATTTTCCTCCGGCATGCAATCTGTTTAGAATCCAATAGTTATTAATACTTATTGCCACTGGTAGTTTCGTAATACAAACTCTTTTTTTTGATAACAGAGAGAACTTGTGGTGCTACAACAGTACATACTTGTTCGCATTATTTACAATGGCTACACTATGTTAAACTACTATCTGAACCTGCAAAAGTCTGTCTCAACCAGTATTTTTTTTCTCTCCGCGTCGAAATTCGAACTCAGGTCCGAGTTAACACAAATAAGTATGGCCTAAAAATCAGATCTTTAAAATATAATTTACAGATTTTCATTGAACTCTCTGAATTTTTGAAAATTCATAAGTTAGAAATAATGTGAGAAACTACTGAGTAGTTTTTTAAGCGTCGGGAAAGTTAGATTCAGTCGTGCGACTGGAAGTGTAACAGTAACATTCCTGGTGTGATAACTCGAAGGATCTGAGTTCGAATCTCGACGCGTTACTGTTACACTTCCAGTCGCAACATATTTTTGGTTTCCGAATTTACAAAAACTCATATATTTCATCGAAAATTGGACTTGCGCTACTTTTAAGCGTTCTTTACACTATCCGTGAACAAAGTTGAGGCTTCGCGTAAAGTAGGCCTGCCCTCGAAAATTAAAATATCCGTTCCAAACTCGCCTCGACTTCGTATAGATCGATCGGAGATTACATTCGTTGAATAAAATCGTCTCAGGTGTCCATAGAGGAACGGACAGACAGACTGGCGGGCGTTTTACAGCCAATCGATTTGTCCGTATCAAGGACCCGCAAAATGCAAATTATGACTACACAATGTGTTAGTATGGAAAACGGGAAGTAATTTACTTCATTCAGGAGTAATATTTATCCAGTTTTACGTAGTCATGTCCCAACAATTTGAGTTTGAGATGAACCCAAAAAGTCGGTCTGTCTGCTTATCACACTAACCTGTAAATCGTATACAGTATTTGATCTCGCTGACCTGCGAATTTGAATCATATTTTAACTTATGCAGAAACTTTATACAAATCCCTTAAGACACTTTCAACCTTTTTTTCAGAGAGTAAATTTACTCGCTCGTAATGCTAGATTCTTCTCCATGAATGAATTTGACATTTGATGAATGTCATGAATTTTGCCATTAGCAGACACAATATGATGGATTGTTTAGATTGTTTTCTTCCGGAACGTGTAACTTTTTCAGCTTATTTATTATATTTTATTGTTTTAATTTTTTAAACTACGTTTTGGTGAGGTGTTGTGACGTCAGGGATCTCTTCCTGCACTCACCCGTAATGTTTCTTCTCCAAGATGTCCAACTCCGTTTTCTCAGCCGACGTCAGCGCCTCCGAGGTTGAATGCTGTTCCTTTTCTATTCGCATGATGACTTCGATCTGTAGGCGTCAAATTGCTGAATGAGATACACCAAAAGAAAACCAGAAAGCACCGAACTTACATAGCAAACTATATTCGCATTTAAAGTATGGTGTTACTGAGAGTTTTGATTATTTATTCCCCGAGAAAAAATGTAAACAACTTCAGAAAAGTTCATTTGAAGTTGGTCACTTCGGTGCTTCAAAATTCATACTACGCCTTTAATGAAACAATAGTTACAAATATTCATCAAATTCGAGAATTTATGCTACAAGAAAAGTTAGCCAAAAATATTAAAGGTACCTTGAAGTTAATTCCACCACGACTCAAGTTATATAAAGCAAAATGATGTGGACCTACTGATTCGTGTTGATTTTTATTCTCGTAAAGCACTTTATGTACTTTGGTATACAATGCAATATTTCATGTATAAATAAATAAGGATTTCAAAATCTTAATATTTTAACTCAAAATACTGGATTGCTGACTCACTTTAAACAGAAACAAATTGGAGGAATTGTTTTAAATACAACTCGGAAAATAGTTATCTCACGCAACTCGGAAGGGTGTTTATAGTTGTTCATCGAGCTTTCTTCGAGGTAGCAGCGCACGAACTGTCTCAACGCGTACGCCTCGGGTTGCCAATCGTGAAACACTTTTAAAATAATGATTTACAAAGTGCATTTTTAACGCTTGAACTAATATATTTCACTAATTTACTACGTACGTATAAGTTTATTACGTTGTAAAACAAAGGATTTTAAAAACTTTTAATTTCAGGTACCCCAAACCTAAACCAAATTAAAAACATCGAGAACATTCATTCATCATTTAATACCAAAACCACTTCATTATAATTCTCTGTTTTAATTGTGATAATTATTTTGAGCTTTACATAAGAATTTTATTCACACTTCAATCCTCGGTAGCGAAATTTCCACGCAAATAATTTACGTTCTTTCTCATCCACGAGGCTGCGAGCAAGAAAGAGAGTTAACGTTTTTGGCTAGTCGTTCAGTAGTTGTGCACTTTTCTTTATATTTAAAATCACACTAAATCACACACAGTTTAAAAATTAAAAAAGAAACATCGTTGACGCCTGACCTTCGCCTTCTTCCCCTCAGCCCAATGAAGGTGCACCACGAGTCTAAGAGCGTCGCAGAGAATTTGAACTGCGCGTTCGGAAAAAGTAAACAATACCATTTCCTTCGAAAACAAATTGCGGGAAACCTATTCCACTAACCTTTCTCAAACAATGATAAGAAATCAGACTATCCAGGAGTTTCGAAAATATATTGGATTTTTTGAAAAAATCTTCCTGGTCTTGGCTGCACTCTCGTTCGTCACTTTACCCTCGCAGTTGTCGAAGTAAATATAATTATACTTTTCAGACAAAAATGATCATCGCAACGTATTCATCAAAAAAATATTGTCTCTTATATTTATTCGTACTCGCCACAACCTTGTTTTTTGATATAACCAATCGTTAAAACAATGAATCATGGAAGTTATCTCGCATTCACCACACACCGAGTTTCATTTATTCTCAAACTCTCATTCATAGCTTCCTCAAACAATGTTCAATTAGACGTATCAGGTTCAATTAGACATATTCATTAACTTTTACTCACATTCATAACTTTTTCAAGTCTAGACTTATCATTATTATTACCATTACATTTATTTATTTTCTTATTTATTTACTGTGTGTGTGCAATTAATGACACATTATTATTTACTGTTTTAGACTAAATAAATTAATGAGTGAAAAGAAAAAGAAATTAAACGTAAATATTTACATTCGTTATTAAGTGTTATGAAAATAACTTAAGAGTACATTTCTTTGAAGGTCAGTGGTTATCATATTACAAATGGCCAAAATATATCTTGATATTTTCATGAAAAGAGCGATAGCGCAGGAGATGTAATTCATCCCAAACATAAAAGATATTTAGCTACTTGTGATATACAATGTTTTATCTTATCCAATGACTTCGCTAATATTTATATTTATCTCGATAAATCGTAATCCATAACCTCAAAACGAGTCATCGAGTGCTGCATGTGAGAGACAGGAAATTGTGAAATGGAAAAGAACAAGCACAAAATTCACAAAATACTATCAGAAATTAATAAGAGGCATAACATAAAAGTAAATTATTGCCAGTGTCATTATAATCGTAATCCTAAAACAAGTGTTCTACAGCTACAATTTGCATTTTATACAACTAAAACTTTCTACGTGTGCTGTTGAAACTGCTTGAATAAAGACCCAAGTTAAAGGGCTATGATAAAATATTTTTAAATTTCAATTTTTTTAAATTTTAGAATCCTCTGAATTTTATTGATGAGTGTCCGTGATAATTAAATTTAAATTATCAAAAAAGTCTATAGATACATTTTTCCAATTTTTCAAGAATATTAAACACCCTAAAAACATTACTGACTGCATCAATACAGACGAAACGAGCAGAGAAGACCGGCCGTCTGCTGTGTCCGTCGTCAAAATCTTTTACTAGGATATATCTACATTAATTTGCACTGTCCATTATGTCCCTTGAGTCTTGTAATGTAATTAAAAATGGTAGTAAGAAAATCAATAATTATCAAGCAAATAATTCATAACGTTCAGTCAACAACGTAGTTTCATAGATAAAAATGTATTATTATTATTATTATTATTATTATTATTATTATTATTAAACGCCTAATTCGTCTTCAAATGGCACAAGCTGTAAAGTTGCAATCCACGAGCTTTTCGGTCGAGCCACGACATTTTCGATCGAAGCAATGTCCTCCAGTCGCGAATCTAAAAAGCCCGTCCTAAACTAAATCGTCTTCTAATTATGGTGAAAGCTTAAAAGAACTTCCTTTAAAGCTTTCGAAAATGTCTGCATATCTGATAAGCATACATTATACAAATAAATACATTCATATATTCCGTCTCCTATAAAATATAAAACAGTTTATTTTCGCTGTTGAATGTTGAAATGTAAATGCACATTGAGAAGAAAAAAAGTTATTGTATCATGAAATTTTCCAACATATTTAAATAAAAGCGTTTTGTAAAAACATACTTCTTTATTATTAACATTATTTTTATTTTCTTTCTACATAACGTCAGAGTGCGCACAACCCCAGGGGGACTACACCGCCTCAATCCCAGCCCTCCAAGGTCGCGTCCTCCGCCTCAAAACCCACTAGCACTGGTAGCCTTATCTCGCTAGGCAGGCGCCCGTGGTAGCGTTTACCTGTGCCACGCACGCCGTTTCCGCTGCCGCCGCCGCCACCGGCGCTGCGTCTTCTTCACTGACAGGCCGACGCAGCAGCAGCTGCCGCCGGCGCCGCCACGGCCGCCGCCGCCGCCGTTGCCCCGCGCGGATTGAGGCGTCGCCGTGACGTCACGGGCGCTTGAAGGTGCAGATGCACACCGAGTCCTACATCCGCATTCACCCGGGCCAAAGTTATACGAAAAGGAGTAAATGAAACGAACATTAATCAAATTAGGGAATACGCAAATTTTGATATTGTTCAATTAAAACAGCATTCAATAGGTAAATTAATTGATTTTAGTTTGCTTTAGGCTAATGCTCAGTGTGAAACATATGTTTACAATTGAAAGTTGATAAATTAGTTCAAATAAATTCGAATTATCTACAAATGAACATTTTCTTGTTTTCGTTTATCCAAAACATCACTAAGTACTTAAACTGCCAATATTAATTTGAAAATCAAAAAAATTGTCAGGGGGTCTTCTTGAATGTGTTTGTAAGCTTCTGTTGGTCACACAGACAACAGAAAACTAGTTTTACTAAACAGATATGGTGAAAAAGGCGTAGCGCCTCAATTAAGTGGTCACCTGATATTAGGTACTAGAAGCCTTTTTTATATTAAAAAAGTATATTAAAAGCCTTTTTTCGTGGAACTGATTGATTCTTTTATAACAGCCATCAAAATATTCGCTCTTTTAAGCTGTTCCTAGCCCCGCGATCAGAGAGCAAGCAAATTAGTGTGCAGAAGTGAATGTATAATGCCATGTACATAAGATATGTATGAAATATTCTAAATATATGAAAACAAGAGTAAAGAAGATAAATAATTTAAATGAAAAAATGTCTCCTGAAATTACCTAATGAAAACTAAATTTTATGGAATATGAAAAAAAATATCCCAATAGAAACACAGTTTGAGCTTACTCGACCTTTTTTCTCTTTCATCAGGACGACATATTTACCTTTCGGTCCTCTCAGCGACCCGCACCCATCCCGCCACTTAAAATAATCTGCCCCAGGAATTTCAAGGACTTCTGCCAGGTCCTCTTCTCACTTCCATTCAGCTATTTTCTTGATTAATACTTCCTACAATTAAATTTTTGTACAGTCATATATTTTCTACATGAAATGTCGCCTTCAAAATAAGGTATTCCTTCATAATATGACATAGTTTCGATTTTCATTAAAACCTCATCAAATTCCAAAAAATTGAAAAGTTCTACTTTCTTTTTGATACGCGACTGTTGCGATCTGTAGGCAGCACCTTGCATAGAAATCAGAGGTCTTGTTACATCCGTTGGCATGTGCAGCCAAAAACAATAAGGGGCCCCCAGGTGCCCCCTTCTCTACATTACATCCATAAACCTGACCGAAACTCTAGAGCAGATCACGAAAGATAGCACACACATTTTAGGATATTTTAGGCTAATATACTCTACCATGAAATTTTAGGTTCTTGCAGTTTTTTTCAAAAATTAATTTTCAGTCAGCTTTTTAATGAAGTCAGATGGTCAAAATTGAAAAATAAATCTACTATAAAATCGCTTGGAATAATCATAGGCTAAATATAAGCTCACAGAAACTGCTAGATTCATTATTTTTATTAATGTTAACTATTTAAAAAATAAAGTAGTAGTGCTAGAGAATGGCACAGACTTTCTCGTATTATTTATTTTCCTAATCTCTTTGGTCTGGGTTAGCGTTTTGGTATTGCCCCAGCCTCTTCCCAGCTGCTACCTGTGAGCTCCCAAAAGCGCATTTTAATGATGAAACGTAAATTTGTTGGCACGGGCTAGGGAAACTAATAGTAACAAAGTAATTAAAACACTAGATTTAATACTACATAGCATACATAATGTCGCGTATGCATACAGAGGTCTCTTTTAGTTATATAAATTTTACAAAATTATTATTTTTGGTACACTCTTGGAAACAAAGTTTCGCGTCGAAAATGCCTTGGCGCGATAGGTTGATGGCTCTGGACATCCCTGCTTGCCGACAGCTCTATCTACTGTTTATTTCCGAAACTACGTTCTGTAGATCACGCTATGAAGATTTAATTTATCTTAATGGAGAGAGTTTAAAATATTTTAAAATCCATTGATAGCAAAATAGTTGTAGCACTAAGGAAAAAGACTTTCGTGATTCCTGCCAGTGAAACTCAACTGACATAAATTTTTATAAACGTAATGTTTCTTTCAAGTTTCGTTAATATAAAATGTGTTAGTATAAGAGGAGTGCAGCAAGGGGGAAGAATGGCTCAGTATCAAAGTGTTGTTCTAGCACTCGTGAAGTTGCGGGTTCGGGTCCCACTCTGTATAGATATTTTATCCATTCTACAATGCAATAAAATCCATTAAATTATAACATTTTACATTTGTCGTGACATGACAAATTTTATGCATAAAACGGTGAAAATTCGCTGGTCGCGAAGAAGGCGAATATTTCAATTGTGAAGAAATTAGAAAATTGATCCATTATACTAAAATTAAAATTGTGCATTATGTAGAGGGGGAGATAACAATAATATATGTTAGTCCTCGTACCGCTCGAGCATTTTTATAACGATTTAGTTATCGCAGCGGTGTTTGGACCGCCCGTAACGTTTTAGAGATTTTAAAAGTTTTCAGCCAGCATGGCAGGATCAATAACACCAAAACATTACATAAATATTATTTGAAACTAAGCCAAAAGTCCCATCACCACAAACACTTAAAATATGTTGGCCCGATAACACTTAATTCAGGGTCTAGTTTGAAAATGGGACTTCTCCATTCCAGTCTGTTTGAGAAAAACAAAAAAAATAGCATATCATCTGTTTAAACATTCTCTTATGCTATATGTTTGAGATTAATTCCCTGGCTTAGTGAAAGTCAAAACAATAGATAAGATAATTAAGGAATGTCTAGTCATTACGAAGAAAGTTGAGCTAAACGTTTAAAAAAGACTTAATTTTGAAATTTAATTTAAGTATTTTGTATTGTTAGTGAATTTTTGGTGAAAAAAATTGTTTTCATTAAGGATTTTTTACAATGTGTAATAATTTAACGTGTAAATTATTTCATTTCGATTTCAATATATTATGTGAAATTTTTATCAAATATGTAAATCGCAGACCGTAACTGCTGACGTTGTACAACAACTAATATTTTCAGGTTCAGCTTAATAAATGTTTAGGCCAGTTTGATTTTTCTACAGAAACTGATACATGTTACTGAATTGGAAAGAATCGTCTGTGCAACGAAGTGAGAAGATTATGGAAAAAGATCGCGTTCTTGAATATTAACGCATTATTATTCATTAACGCAATTTATTCCCGTGATCTTAGAGCCCTCTGATAGTGAATAAAAAAACGCGTTTGTTACAAATCATTTTATAACAACAACGCGTAATTGCAACGCCCTATTGAAGCAGTTATCTAATTTTTCACCATTGGGTGAAAAATGTTTGCGTGTTTGAAACTAGACCTCTCAATTCGCTGATTCTTCGCAATATTGAACAATTGCTGCATTTTTTCAGTAGAATTGACATTGATGCATTCGGAGATAACGCTCGGCATTTGCCTGCAGCCGTTCGTCATTTCGTATTTAGTTCCGTGAAGGAAACAACCGGAATATGTTTTCACAGCCCAATACGGAGAGCAGGTTATTGATAAATAACATCGTCATCAAACATGAGATATTCTTCAGTATTCTTGTAACTGCTTTGAATCCTGTAATAATGCAGAGCCAACTTTTCTAGTAAATGAAAGCAGATAATAAATAATAATAATAATAATAATAATATGAATAATAATAATAATAATAATAATTAATAATAATAATACATATAATAATGAATAACAACCAACATACATTGAGGAAATCAGAAGTTATAATATTGGGTGAATATAGGATTGAAACAAAAATGCCTAAATATTTTTTGCGCTGGCCAGTGTTAAGAAGGCACGCGACAGTATTTAAGACTGTTCCTGCAAGTTGCTCCTGAACTATTGAATGCAATTCACACTCTACACCACGGAAATTTGAAAAAAAGCATTATGTGATAACGTAGTATCATGTCCTAAAATATCTGGGCACGTGACGTGGGCTTAAACTCAGTTGACAGATTTTTCAGGCAAAGTGTTCAGAATAGCGATCCAATACCGCCCGGCGTTCGCGATGCAGAGGTTAAATCAAGAACAAAATGAACTTTAATGATATGCTCTATTATTTTCATTTTACAAAAATATAATTGATTTTTATCTCATAGAGCACCAACAAGTCTGTACCATGACAAATGCGGCTTCGTAAAATAAAAAAATCCACCATCAATAAGGGAGACAAGAAAAGTACATCAGGAAGCAATCACGCATCAACGATAGAATTACTGCAACTGGATCATTTCCAATTCGTTCATTAGGATAAGTTCAATTGTTGGGGGCAACAAGTATAATCAAAAATTAAAACTTAAAACAAACCTTATTTTTTGCCCGGGGTATGCACACAAATTACATTATTTTTTTATATTTGTATCTGTTAAACAGTTGTATGTTCAACAGGGAGGTTCACCAAACTACAACCATCCCCATAACTTCTAAACGGTTCCCGATATCGAAATTGTGTTTCGCACGAACACTGTGTAAATTCGATGAGGCAATAATGTGCCTAGGAATATTGTTCAAAAATTTTGTTAGTTTCCGAGAAATTTAATCATCCTTAATTTTTTTAAATGGAACCAAGTATTTTATATTCTAGCAATAGGTAGATCATAAATAGACGAATGTTTATGATGTAACACATGTTTAATGCTTTGATAAGTATTTGAAAGAAAATATACTTTCCGCCATGTGATTTTAAATTAAATATATATTAATTTAACTGTAAATATAACAACCCTTTCAACTGTCTTCCGTTTTTGGAAGGTTGCCTTCGTGGTTTTGGGCACTTTTTACAGGGAGAGGGGAATGAGGCCCGCGAAGTCACGTTCGCCAAAAGCGGACAGTTGCGACGGCAGCTACAGAACAAATTGCCACGTTTAATATTAAAAATCTCAGTCCATTAAAAGTATAATTTATTGCACAAAACACAATCAAATCATAGCAATGTTACAT